CAACGTTGTCATTTTGGGATATAATGCAGAAAAAGTTAAGTTTAGAATTTATATAGTCTTGAAATGATTTCAAGACTAAAACAGTCTAAAATATTACGTGATTAAGAGTTTAATTCAATATTGAATTATTCGGGGAATTATTATCGGGCTATAAATAAACAGTAGAAAAGAAACCGTTAGAAATTAAAACTTCATATCAGTTAAGTTAATTCCTTACAGTTGGTATAATTTTTGACTGTTTAAAATAGAATTTTAAGAGATAAGATCAAAGTACAAGACAAGATGTAATGAGATGTGAATTAATAGAAGCTAATCATGAAATTCTCTTCTCTTTTCTCCCTTTATTATGGCTGGCCATAAGATAAGAACACTAATGGATAAATTCAAATTATCTACCATCATTTGCTTATGTCACCAAGATGACATCACTCATATGACATCATGTAATCAACTAAGCACATAAAATATGATTTACTCTCCCACTTCTCTCTTATAACCGAGCAATCATTTAGCAACACACACCAAAAAAAAAGTGTTAAGGCAAAAGGCCATTTCCCCATGTAATACCTCCACGTATTAAGCCCCAAACAATCAATTTACATGCTTTCTTTGTATGGCCGAACCCCATAACTTACTCTCAAAATCTTTCTTTCTCCCAAGCACCTAATCTTACCAAGAGATCTTGAAGAAAATAAAAACTAGGTGTTTTGGAAGCTTGATTAAGGTGAGAGAGCTTGTTTCTTTTAATAGTTTTCCCTCCAAGTAGATGATTGTAGTTCAAGTTCTAATCTTAATTCTTTTCCTAGAGGAAGTTTAAGCTTTTCAAGAAGATTTAAGAGGCACCAAAGAAACCAACAAAAGGAAAGCACACCTTTGGCCCCTCTAGGCTCTAGGTATAAAGTTCAAAACTTTATAAAGTTTTGTTTGACTTTTGATATCTTAAGTAGGAAAAGACAGAATTTTTGTGTGGTTTCTAAGATCTATGTGTGTGTGCTAGAAATAGCATGATTGGCATAGGATTAATTTCACTTTCATGATGCAAATTCAGATTATAGGGAACTTGGTTAGGTTCAAGCAATTGGTTAGAACTTGGTAACTCAAAGTTTTAATTTTTCTCTTAAAATGCTAACTTTAAGGACTATGGCATGAAAATGTTAAGATATAATATGATTCTTGAATGTTTGAAGTGTGTTTTAGCTTCTTGAAATGATGAAACATATATGTTGGTGTTTGAGTTATGTTTACTCTAAGTTTAAACTTATAGTTCTTGATGTTTTGAATATTTTACTGTGATTGTGAAAAAAAAATTCAGTTTTAGCTCTAAATACAAGTTTTATAAATTGTTTGTCAAAATACTACAAAACTGTCCACACTGTTTCTAAAAACTAGCAGCCACTGTTTGCAGCCAAATGAGCCCTTTAAAGGATGAATCTCAGTTTTCTCCGAACACGAAAGTTTTAACTTTCGACGAGACAAAGAATTTTCATGAATAACAGATTTTCAAATTTTGAATCTAAGATGCAGTAAAACGCAGAAAAGTTCATTACAGAGTTTAACTATACGAAACTAAAACAGTTTTGGTTTTTAACAGAAAAGTTCATTAAAAAACCCAGATATGTGATTTCAGTAAAATAATATGGTTTTAGACCTCACTTTAACAGAAAATATTCATGAAGAAAGTTCTCGAGAAAATCGTTTCTAAGACAGAGTTTCACAGTGGTTCATAAACTAACTGTAAAATGACTTGTGGAATAGTTTCAAAAGTCGGTATTCGACAAAAAATTAATTTAGGACTGATAATAGGATTTTAGTACTTGTAACTAAATAAATGAGCAATTGATTTTATGAAAATCGAACAATGGTTTCTTTTAAAACCTTAATAGTTTCCGAGCGAAACATCCAAATGAGAACTTACGAGCCTAATATGTTAGGGCCTTAGAATTACGAAGGTTAGATATGAGTCCAACGCCCGTATTAGTTCAAGAGCCATCGCTCAAGTCTAAATTTTGACGTTCTAGAATTAGAATGCCCTTTATTAAGTCTCTAGGCCAATTGGGCTTTAATAATAAAACAAGTCCAATAAGGTAATTTATGGAGGATTAGCTTCTAGATTGGGTGATTGATTAATCAGAAATTGATATTCATTCTAGGCATATGTATGCTAAGGACAATTAAGGAAAATAGAATTATGAGGATTTAATAAATTTAATCCTTATGCTAAATATAAGATTTTACAATCCTTCAATAAAGAAAATGAAAACATATCTTAAGTAAAGGATTAGATTCCTTTATAAGTTTACTAAATTAGAATAGCAAATGACAGTTAATCTTACACTCTCAATAGATGTTCATTTTTAGAAATAAACAAGTAAAAGAATAGACCATTTGGCGAATAGTGAAAGCCAGTTCTGTAAAATAGGTAAGTAGAAATCTTGCCTACAATATGAATATATTTTAAATAAAATATTACACATGATATATATGCATGTTTATGTTTTATGTTATAGTGTGCAATGCCATGCCATGCTGCATACACCTTAATAAATTAAGTGGAACTTATAAGAATAATCTCAATTGAGTGCTGTACCAGCCTCCGCGAGAGAGGTAACTAAGACTCTGCGAGGGAGATAAAAAGATGATAAGTTAAATCACAGTGTCGTTGGGGACCTTACAAACCCTCACGTCCTTATGATTGTGCACAAATGGTACGAGCACTCGGGCCAATCAGTAAGTAAGATAATATCAGATAATAAGACTTTAATAAGACATGATCATAATTAAGCATAATTGGCTCATGCATATTTATTTATGTGAACTTACACTTGTTTTACGAGAGATAGTTCTTACTTGCTGAGTGATAGCTCATTATAGAATATTTATACTGTAGGTAAGCAACCTGCACCTAATGCCTAATGGACTGATGACAAGGCAATAGGAGAACGATGTGGAGATCGGATAATGGATACCGCTCGCAATTATTTCTGCAAATAGTTTTATGTGATAAGTAGTTTTGCTAATTATGACTCTGAAACTATATGTTAAATGATTAGGTTATGACTGTTAAGTATATGCAAATAAGCAAGAGTTAAAGATCAAGTATATACATATATATTTATGTTTTGAAAGATGAATATGTTGACGTATAAATATTTTGTCATAATTAAGAAATAAATTCAAAATTTATGTTTACAATAATAGTTTTTTTTTTTATTATAAAAAAAGTTCCGTAAATTTTAAGAAATTTCAGCAAGTATATGTTAATGTCACTTACAGTGACGGCCATATAGGAGGGTCACCACAAGCTCTCTTTCTCAATCCCTCATCTCCCTTTCTTTCTCGGCTCTCTCTTCTTTCCCTTTGTTTCTCGATTTCTCACTCACTCTCCTTGCGCTCTCTCTTTCTTCGCCCTCTTTTTTGGCTCTTTCATGCTGCCTGTCTTGTATGTCAGTGTTGTGGATGTTGGATTTGTCAAATTCTTTCTCACCGGTGATGGTTGGCCATAGCACAACAGTTGAGAGAGATGAGGTCAAACAGTTGAGGGATGGGTATTTTTGGAATTATGATGTTCAAAATTTGCTATTATTTTTCATCCATAAAAATATATGTTATTAGGGATGGCAATTCGTGTCACGTATCGTGTTCGTGTTGTATTTTGATCGTGTCTTTCTAAATTTACAGTTAACCCGAACACGACCCGTGACACAAAATTTTTTAAAAACCGCAATACGAACACGACACGACCACTTTACGGGTTGACACGACACGACACGAAATGACCCGTGAACTCGAAATTGACACGAAAATTGTATATTTTTTTAACTTTTATTTAGTTTTTTACATATTAGAAATAATTTATAATTCATAACACACTAAAATACAATAACATCCATTGAAATTAAGCAAATAATAGTATAAGATTTTGAATATAACTATCATGATATCACAAGTTCATAATAAAATAAAAAATATGTGATGAAAAATATATGTATTTTTTTAGTTTTTTACGAGTTTCGTGTCGTATTCGGGTTAGGCGGGTCCAACTTGAAATTGACCAATGTTTTTCGTGTCAATTTCAGGTCGACCCAATTCTGACCTGAACATATTTTTTCTCAATCCTAACCTGTGAAATTCGTGTCATTTTTAAGTCGTGTTGTCGTGTCGTAACCTATATTGTCGGCCCTATATGTTATCAACTTTTATTCTAAGTTGAAAATATGCCATTTTCCTCTATTTCTCATGAGTTTAGGATTAAAAATAGAGGACTAATTTGTTTCGTGCATTTAAAACCAGAATTCTAATTCTACTATAATACTTTTCTCTTAAAAAAAAATTAAAATAAAAAAATTTCCATTAATGATTCTCTCATAAAATTTAAATTCAAAAGTAAATACGTGAACCAAACATGCAAAGCCACTCCACAGTGTTTTGAACCTTTTTTTCATTCCTTTTGAAAATTTGAGAGCATGCTAAAATATGGCACAAAATTGAGAGGCATTTACGAAATAAAAAAAATTCTGAGGGCATATTTTTTGGCAAATTAAAATTTTCAAACTATTATTACAAATAGTAATATTTTTTCCGTAAATACAAAGTAATATTTTTTGATTAGAATATAAAATCGAGTTTTTGCTGTTCAAATGTTTCTGTCCATCCTCCAACGGAGATTTCGACACTAACAATCTGTCACATAGGACCCACATCGAATTCCCAGCTCACCTAATCAGACGCCACGTGGTCCTTAGAGAATACATCTTCCTCAATTTTTTTTCGTTTAAAACGAAATATATAAAATTGACGAGTTTATCTTTTTATCGGAAAAAATATAGCTCGCATTGACCAAAAGAGTCAAACTCGCTCTCAGATCGGACGGTCAAGAATTCATTCTCCCCGTCACTGATCAACCCCGACCCTTCCCTCAAGGCCTCACTACGGGCGCCAAAAACCCCTCTTTCATCAAAAAAACCCCCAAAAAATAGAAAGTAGAGAGAGAAAGAGAGAGATAAAGAAAGAAACAAATCCAGGAAAAAGAGAGTTTTTTGAAATCTTTGTTCTTTTTTTTGTTCGAACTTGGTTTGAGGAAGAAGCAGCCATGGAACTCCAGAACACAGTGAAGGAAGCCCTAAACGCTCTCTACCATCACCCCGACGATGGTGTCCGTTTGCAAGCCGATCGTTGGCTCCAGAATTTCCAGCGCACTCTCGACGCCTGGCAGGTAACTCCACGATTTCCTTTTTCCGGTCGATTTTCCCGGAAAGTTTTGATCGATTGGATTCGTCGCGGAGTTCGATTCGTCGGTTTTGGCGTTCTTGAGCTTCAATGAGATTTTGGATTTTTCTTTGTCTTTCTTGATTTTCTTTTGAGTTTTGCAAGTCTATAAGCGGGAAGTGAGTTGTGGCCATTGCCAATGGGGGAAGTTCGATTTTTAGGGTTTATCTTTTGTGTCTTTGGTTCAGTAAGGGAGTATAAGACGGCGTTTGTTTTGGTTTGATTGCTTGTCGAGAAAATGTTGGAACGGGAAAACAATTTGATTGATTTTTGTTGTGGAGATTTAGGGCTATTTTCATTGAGGATATCTTTTTGCAAATGCGTTATTTCAGTAATGTTCTGTTCTTTTTGGCTGAGAAAAGTTTAGGAGAGAGAGGGGTTAAATGCTTGATTCTCATTTATATGAGCAACGGAATATTAATCAAGGAAAGAGTTTTGAGCTGGAAACTAGTTTGATTATGCAATTTGATATTTTCCACCTACTCGGGCATTGCTGTTATGGTGAATGCTCTAAGTTCATATGTTGATGTAGTATCTAATTCTTTCATTTTCATTTTTTTTTTCACTTTCTTTTTATAATAAAGGTGGCTGATAACTTGCTTCACGATGCCTCGAGCAATCTAGAAACCTTAATCTTTTGTAGTCAGACCCTTCGGAGTAAGGTAAGTTTCTGATTTTTCTACATTTAATAAGTGAAGGAATTCAAAAGGTTCAAATTGTGAAAACCTAGTGTAGGGGGTGCGACTGTTGGCTTGTGCTTTGTGATTTTGTTCTAGGTACAGCGCGATTTTGAAGAACTACCTTCTGAAGCTTTTCGGCCATTGAGGGATTCTTTAAATGTAAGTGAGTATTTGTTCTCAATTTAACCCGTCGAAGAAGGTTTGCTTTAAGGTTTCTTATTAACGAAAAAACCCGTCAAAGGTTAGATTTTGTGTAGATTTTGCTAAATTTTTATGTCAAGCCGATGATGTATTATTATATGAACAGTAAACTTCTGAACTTGTGATTTATCACAAATTAAAAATACAAAGGATGTAAATTGCTGTTTTTGGTGCATGAAGTCCTTGAAATTCTGTCTTTTATGTATGCTCTCTCATGTTAGGCATGTTGCTTTTCTCTTACAAAAGATAGGATACATTTCGTTGTCTATTGTATTAATGAAACTAAAACCTTTTGCTAAATTTCGCTTGGTTCTGAATTAGGATGAGCTAGTGTAAGTTGCTGCCTCTTTGTAGTTTGCATTTATCTTCACTTATTTAGTTATTTTATGAAGAATGACTGCCATTTTTTTTTTTTTTTTTTTTTTTTTTATGCATAGACTTGATATGTTGCAATGAAGTTTTTTAATCATTTCTTGCAACACATGAACAATTTGGGTGCAGAATTTATTGAGAAAGTTCCACAAGGGCCCTCCTAAAGTCAGGACGCAGGTATTGGTTTGAAGATTTCTTGCATGCATGTTCATCCTATACCTTATGATCTTAGAGGATATTATGCTCAATCATCTGGATTTTTAGATTAGCATTGCAGTTGCTGCCTTGGCCGTATATGTTCCGGCAGAAGATTGGGGGGATGGGGGTATTGTAAATTGGCTTCGGGATGAGATGAATATGCACCCAGAATATATACCAGCATTCTTGGAGCTACTCACGGTTTTACCTGAGGTAGATAACATATCTTCTGAATAAATGTCCTATATTTTTTTAGACGTATATCTTTGGAGCTTTTGTATATGCTCTTATCAAAGTGTCTGATTTTCACTTCATGCCTTTCTCTTCTTGTTTTATTCTTATGATCAGGAAGTATATAACTATAAGATAGCAGCTCGACCAGAAAGACGCCGCCAATTTGAAAAGGAGCTGACATCACAAATTGAGACTGCTCTTAATATCTTAACAGCTTGTCTGAACATTAATGAACTTAAGGAGCAGGTCGGCACTTTTCCTAGTTCATAACGTGGTTAGTTATTTATTCTTTGGCCGTTGCAGCGTCCTTTTGATAAAATCTCAACTTAATTGTTATTTCAGGTTCTTGAGGCTTTTGCTTCTTGGCTTCGACTAAAGCATGGGTATGACTTTTTTCCTTTCTTGCTTCTTCCCGTTCTCATCATAAATTTCAACTTCATTTTTTGCTTCTTGCTTTTAGAAAAATGTTTCTGTTACAAGTTTGGATTCCTTATATGTATCAATCTGTACAGAGGATGATAAGCATGGTGTACGGTTGATTATTTCCTTTATAGACTACATATTATAAGTGTGAAGCGTAGCTTTCTCTTCTATTGTGAAAACAAGCTAAATTAGTGAACTTGCGGTGAATAGTTGAACTTGCTCGTTTCAGGATCCCAGGAAGCGTGCTTGCATCTCACCCATTGGTGCTTACAGCTCTCTCAAGCTTGAATTCTGAAATACTTTCAGAGGCATCAGTAAATGGTATTATTTTTAAGGATCTAATTTTCCAAGGAAACTTTATTCGTTTACGTACCTGTGTAAACGTGTGATCATTTTAATGTTTTGAAGCTCTACGATACATTTTAGTAGAGTTAAAATAGAATCTGTTGGTCCTACGAAGAACTTCAAATCAAATATGCAGAGGATTTGTTTTGGAAATATTTATAAATCTGAAGATATTAAAAAACATGATGAAGTTTTTCTTCCTTTGACATCTTTCCCCCCTCCCCGGATCCATCATCTTCGAGGAGGAGGAAAGAGAAGTCAAATACTTTTATGGAAGACTAGGGATTGCTAATCCGCCTACGCGGGAAGCCTTCTACCTCTCAGGCTAAAGAGGAAAGATAGCCCTTGCCTTCTAATACATGTCACATTGGATTTGCTAGTATTCCTACGGGGCTTAGTATTCCGAAGAGTCATCCTAATCCATGTTGCTAATGTTCCGGTCTTCAAACAAGAACTAGGGGGCTCGTTCGACCTGACGCTGGTTAGACATGAGGTCGAAGATGTCCCGTTTCGCCCTATGGCACTAAACTTAGTGTCCATATATTGTCGCGGGAAAAAGGCGCTCAGATGCGCTTACAGTCTTATTATTGTATCCTACCAGGAGGACTCGAGGGGCCTTTCGGCGCCAGAGCCATAGCAAGACCACAGCACTCTTCCAGAGTTTTCTTTCAATCTTATCTAACCATTGATAAGATCTAGAATTCTTAGGACGATGCAGTGTCCTATATAGTTAAGAATACCAGCCTATATAGTTAAGAATACTTTAACTACTCTTTCCTATATAGTTTAGAATACCAGTCTATCTTTGTCCTCTCTCTCTCTCTCTTTGTCCTCTCTTTCTCTCTCTCTCTCCCCTTTTCTTTTCTAATTATTAATTTATTATTATTATTTTTTGCTTGATGCTTGAACTTCGATAGTATAGCTATGTAGATATGAAAACTCTGTGACACGTTTTCTTTGTTTTCTACTGCCTGTTTCTCATGTTCTTTGCAGTTATTTCTGAGTTGATACATTATACAGCAGCTGGGAGCTTCAATGGCGTTCCTGCTCATATGCCCTTAATTCAAGTGATTGTCCCACAAGTAATGAGTCTGAAGGCACATCTTAGAGATTCTTCAAAGGTACTGCATACATAGAGTTTAGAAGTTTTCTTTTGTGGGGCCTCGCTGAGTGCCTAATCGATCAAAAACATTTATACATTAATACAAAATAATGTCAGTGGATTGTTGATTTTTTACAAATATGTTTCTCCTATGTCCGATTAGGGTAGGTGCTAAAGGCATAGATGGCACTAATACTATTTATTGGCTGCCAATCACATTGATGTTGATCTCCCGATCACATTGATGTTGATCTCCCAATCACATTGATGCTTGTCTACTTTTCTTAAATGTTCATTTCCACTTCACTAATCATATTAGGGCTGGTGCTAAATGCAAAGATGGCACTAAATCTAATATATTTATTGGCTCCGAACATTGAAGTAAAACTCTGAACTCCCAAGCACATTGATGCTGATGTACTTTTCTTGGATGTTCATTTCCAAGGGCCCCTGCCCCCTGTATACTAAGCTTGTGTCCTGGAAAAAAGTTAAAACAATTGTGTTCCTCAACTATTCCCTATTTCTAATTTTTATTTGCATTTTCAGGACGAGGAAGATGTGAAGGCCATTGCTCGATTATTTGCTGACATGGGTGATTCATATGTTGAACTGATTGCAACTGGTATACTATTATTAATTACCATTCAGCATCCCCTTATTTATGCTTCTAATAATAATTGGGTGCTCTTTCATCTTTTACCACACATTATCTGAAGGCCAGGCATGCGAAATTGCTCTTGTAACACGTTGAATATCATGTACTTTGACTTCAGGTTCTGATGAATCAATGTTAATAGTGCATGCATTGCTGGAAGTTGCTTCACACCCAGAATATGATATTGCTTCAATGACGTTCAACTTTTGGCACAGTCTTCAGGTGAACTTGACCAAAAGGTGAGATGTCTAGAACTGCTCATTCTATCTACATTCAGTTAGAACAGAATATTGAATATAGCTATTCTCATCTTGTAGGGTTTCATTTGGTAATGAATCATCCATTGATGCTGAGAGAAATAGAAGGCTGCAGGTTTTTCGTCCAGCATACGAATCACTTGTATCCCTAGTGAGTCTTTTCTTTAATGTTTTAAATTTCAGATTTGTGAAATCAAATACCTAACATCTCCAAGGAATATTAGCTTCTGACGCCATAGGCTTAGCTTCTTCGGGCTTTATGGTTGTAAAACAATGTTGTGATAGTCTATCTTTCATTTTACAAATTTCATTGTCCTGTCCTTTTTAGGGAAGGTTTTCAGAATTAAGGAGGCTTTGATTATTATCTTAAGCCTCGTTTGTTTCGCTCGTTCGAGTTGAGAACTCGAGTTAAAAAAGTGAATTCATGTGAGAGAAAACACTGTAGTAGAAAAAGTTGAATTTGTGTGAGAGAAAACATTGTAGCAAAAACATAAGTTGTGATTCAAACTAGTGAAACGAACGTGGTCTTATTGATCCTAAAATTCCCTGTGATATTGTTTAGCATGCTCAGTTTCATGAGGATACAAGCACATGCACTTCAGTTTTTCTCTGCATTAATCTCCTCCTCTTGCTTAGTATTTTGGAAAAGAATAATTACTTAAACCATGGATCTATTTTCTTAAACCATGTATTAATCCCCTCCTAAAATTCCCTGTTATATTGTTTAGCATGCTCAGTTTCATGAGGATACAAGCACACGCACTTCAGTTTTTCTCTGTATTAATATCCTCCTCTTGCTTAGTATTTTGGAAAAGAATAATTATTTAACCCATGGATCTATTTTCTTAAGTAAACTTTTAAGTTTGTGAAGTGGAAGATTAATGGGTTCCTCATTCATGATGGAAAAGTTAATATATTATATTGACAAGTTCCTGGAGCAAAGGGTAAACTTAAGTGGTAGGCAAGACAAATTCTTTTATTTTACTCCTTTTCCCTTTTATTTTTCTTAGTTCTATTGTTTTTCGCTTGGAGGATACCTTATCCTCTTCCTTGTAATTGATTAAATAATCGATAAAAGGAGTTTGTATTATCAAATAAAAAAAAGTGGTAGGCAAGACAATAGATGCTAATTTTCCCATATCATTTTTATGTTTCTTTAAAAATTTCAGCACCTATGATTTCTCCGCACAGGTAAGCTTCCGAGTTCAATATCCTCAAGATTATCAGGACCTTTCATACGAAGACCTCAAGGAATTTAAACAGACTAGATATGGTAATAGCTGGATGTTTGTGCATTATAGTTTATTATATTGAGATTAGAATGCCACATTTTGTTTTTATTAGTCATGGCTGATGGATGAGTATTGAGATTTCTAGTTTTCCTCTTCTTGAGTTTTTGTTCTCCCTCTAGAATTCTGTCTTTGCTATCTCTGTCTCTCTAATCTCTGGAAGTTCTATTTCTCTATATCAATTCTCGCTCTTTTCTAGCTCTTGCTACCTCTGATTTCTAGATGTTCTATTATCACTCTTCTATCTTTGCTTATCTCTTTGTCCTGCGTAATCAGTTTTAATTTTCTTAGAGAAGCACAATATGGAGTAATGTGAAAATGTTGTACGTAAATTCAATTCTGACGTAATCTATATTGTTGCCAGCCGTGGCAGATGTCTTAATTGATGCAGCATCAGTTCTTGGTGGTGATCCCACGCTTAAGATTCTTTACACCAAGCTTTTTGAGGTGTGTAAATTGGTTTGAGGCCATAAAATACTTTCTGATTTCCATCACGTGAAGCGTATCACCCTAATTGACGGTCTAATGTTATAATTATTCATCCAAGGCTGTAAGCCGATACAAGAATGACGAACACAGTGAATGGCGTCCAGCAGAGGCTGCTCTATTTTGCATTCGTGCTATATCAAATTATGTGTCAGTTGTTGAATCTGAAGTAATGCCGCAGGTATGGCGTAAGAGAAACCCACCCTCATGCATGCCCTATTCTTGTTGCCTAATTTACCCATGTAGTATGTTTCTTAGGATTTGTTTCTTGCATTAAAATATATTATCATATTGCCGTTGCAAGCCCTAACAACCTTTGTGGCTTATCCATCTGTTATTGCTATTCATGAAAAATGCCAATTTTTTTTCTAATATTTTCTCTGGAATGCTTTGGTGTCTTATGACATAAAGGTTGCAATGTGATTAATGCTTCGCCTGTTGGTGGCTATAATTAACTAATCTTCTTGTTTGATTTGTGCACTCTATATGCTCTTTTAATGCTAACCTTCAGTTTGTGTTTTTGTTTGTTTTGTACAGGTTATGAGTTTACTTCCGAAACTCACCCAACATCCCCAGCTACTCCAGACAGGTAATGCAGTTTTTAAAGTTCAAAAGCTGCACACTTTTATTTTCATTTATTTTCCCCTATCCCCTCCCTGGCCCCAGCTGAGGGAGGTCAAGCTTGTCTAAGCAAGTGGTGAACAAGTCCTTGGTATGAAAGTGCTACTTATAAACATTGAATAGATGGAAATTCCATTTTTGTTTTTCTTCTGTGCATGATGTGTACAAATTCCAGTTTGCTTGACCATTGGAGCATATTCAAAATGGTTTGATGCTGCTTCTAGCGGACTATCTATATTGCCTTCAGTTATAGAAATCCTCATGAGTGGCATGGGTACATCTGAAGATTCTGCAGCCGCTGCAGCCCTAGCGTTTAGACATATCTGTGATGGTACATAGACTCTCTCTCTCTCAGTGAATACTTTCCATTTTTTGTTATCTTCTCAAGGACCAAGAAAGTTCGAAAAGAAAAAGAAGAAAGAACAAGAAACTAGCATTTGAGACGCCAGACACACCAAAGATAGCAGAGTGCCTATTAGTATGATATTAGGGGCTTTGATTGTTCCCTTCATACGCCAACAATATTAGTTTTCCGTTCTGTGATCATAGTTTTCACCCCATAGTTTTCCTTCTCCTCTCTTTGCCGAAAAGAGCCAAAAAAAAAAAAAAAAAAAAAAAAACCTATTGATATAGTTCTGATTGGAATAATAATACGTCTTTTTGGAAAGACTGCTGTAGTAGTTTTGATCCGAATAATAATTTATCTCAATGTAGATTGTCGGAAAAAGCTTTGTGGATGTCTGGATGGCCTCTTCAACATATACCACACGGCAGTGAACGGTGAAGGTAGTTATAAAGTCTCTCCTGAGGACTCGCTGCATCTTGTTGAAGCATTAAGGTAAACTGCTAGCGATGACTTTTGAGATAAGTGCATTGGTCACTAAATCAGGGTTTTGCCTTCAGCACTTTGCTTGTGGTTATTTATTTACTTTTCCCCCAAATTCCAGCACGGTTATTACAGAACTTCCTCCAAACAATGCGAAGACATATCTAGAGGCACTATGCTACCCGGTTGTTTCTCCTCTACAGGTGATTTTCATTTCACGTGTGGAACAACTTATTTATACCTTCGTTGTAGATGAGACTACTGATTTTGTTGTGGAAAACCAGGAAATTGTCAACCAAGGCCCAGAGGTTTTAAATAAGAAACCTGCTCGCGAGTTAACAGTTCATATTGATCGATTTGCCTATATTTTTAGGTGTGTTCTATATCCCATTTCAATGTCCTTGTTTTCTGTGTGATTTGGCATGTTCTTTAACATGGAATTAATCAATTCTCAGATATGTATATCATCCTGAAGCAGTAGCTGATGCGATTCAAAGGATATGGCCAATTTTCAAAGCCATCTTTGATCTGTGAGTATTTATATAGAAAAGATGCTTTCTGGGTAGTATAGTATAACTTATGTTCTGATTTATTTGGTGCAGCCGTGCTTGGGACATGCGGACAATGGAATCTCTTTGCCGTGCTTGCAAATATGCGGTGAGTTTGCTCAATTTCTTGACTCTGCCGTGTTATCTAAGTGAATTATTAGGCCCCGTTCGTTTCGCTAGTTCGAATCACACCTCAAGTTTTTGCTATAGTGTTTTCTCTCTCAAAAATTCAAATTCAACTTTTTCTACTACAGTGTTTTCTCTCACGTGAATTTACTTTTTAACTCAAGTTCTAAACTTGAACGAGTGAAACAAATGGGGCCTCAGAAACCTCGCTATGCATACAGGTGATATTAAGGTCTATCAGTTCATTTCTTTTTTTTTTTTTTTCTTTTTTTCTTGGTCAACTTGAGCAATGAATCCACTAAGGCAAGCTTTGTAATTTTTCACGAAAAAGAGATCTCTTCATTTTGTTTCTGTCATTGCAGTACATCTCATGTAATTCCCTTTTTTGTTCTAATACCTAATTATATGCAAACCCTCTCTTTTTCATTACCCATTGATTCTGAATAAATAATTGAAAACTTAGGTGAGAACTTCTGGGAGGTTCATGGGAATCACAATTGGAGCTATGCTAGAAGAGATCCAATGTCTTTATCAACAGCATCACCAACCATGCTTCCTTTATCTCTCTAGTGAGGTTATAAAGGTATAATTTTCCTCTCAAGGTGTGAGCTACTGATGTTCACAAACGTATATTTTGTGAATTTATGCATTTAATCTTGTGATGCAGATATTTGGCTCCGACCCAACATGTGCTAATTATTTAAAAAGTTTGATAGAAGCACTCTTTATTCATACAACACGTCTTCTCACAAGTATTCAGGTGAAGTTTCACTGGGCAGTATGTCCCTTTCCGTTCTGATCTACCAGTGGCTCTGCTGTCATTTGATTATACGCGCATTTCTTTTGCAGGAATTTACCGCCAGACCAGATATCGCAGATGATTGTTTTTTGTTGGCATCAAGATGCATTCGTTATTGTCCTCAATTATTCATTCCATCTCCAGTATTTCCATCACTAGTAGATTGTTCAATGATTGGGATCACAATACAGCACCGGTATGCTTCTTTAGGTCTGCATACATGCATACATGCGTGTGTGTGCAATGAAACTTTTGCATATGAATTTGTCATTCTTTAATTGGTGAAAGCCATTGAATCTATTTATTCTAACTTAATCAGTGGTCATTGATGTGGTATTCTGTGCATGTACATTCTCCAGTTTTTAGCGGGGACTGACATTGTATTGTTTTCTTGGCTTGCAGAGAGGCCTCAAATTCAATATTGACCTTCTTATCGGATATCTTTGATCTTGCAAACTCTGGCAAAGCCGAACAGTACTTACCTATAAGGGATGCTGTTATAATTCCTCGAGGAGCCGTTATCACGAGGGTTTTGGTTGCTGCACTAACTGGGGCTCTTCCAAGCTCTAGATTAGAATCGGTAAGTAATTTGTGGCCATATTTTCACCCTTTATTACGACAACATTGGCAATGGTCTTCCCTCTTTTCTCCAAACGTGTGCCTGAAAGTTCATAGCGCCTCTCTCAGGTAACCTACACACTATTGGCGCTAACCCGAGCTTATCGGGCGCAAGCAGTGGAGTGGGCCAAAGAAAGTGTCTCACTAATTCCATTGACGGCAGTAACGGAGATCGAGCGTTCCAGATTTTTGAAAGCATTGTCGGATGCCGCATGTGGAGCTGATATTAATTCTTTGACGGTTCCGATCGACGAGTTATCAGACGTCTGTCGTCGTAACCGAACAGTCCAGGAGATAGTTCAAGGAGCTTTGAGGCCTCTTGAGTTGAATATAATACCTGTATCATAGGCATGATTCGGAGTTTTACTACACAAGAGGAGGCCATTTTGCCAGGCCTCGCCTCGCCTGCCGGTAAAATGAGTTGGGCGATTGCGTATTACAGTATTAGCCTTTTTATTTGTTTGTCTTGTAATTTGTTGTGATTCTCCAATTTTTAAAGAGAATCATTGGTGGCCCTTTCATATTGGGTAATTGGGTGAGAGTTGATCAATTCTTGTATCTATGTGTTGATGAGTTGTGGGATCTTTGAGTGGGTTTTCCTTTCTCTTGGCTTTGTCATTTTTTGGGGATAAAAAGATCACATGGTATAGAGCTGTAGATTAAGGTGATGAAAGCATTTTTAGGCTTCCATAGGAGTGTTTCGTTCTTATAGTCTTGGATTCTTTAAAAAGACCCTTTTGCTAGTTGCTGTACAAATTACAGAAATTTTGAGTCTACTTTGTTCTGGTTATTTTTATTATTGTTAGAAACGTTTGTATTGCTTTTGTAATCAACTGATTTAAAGAATTCCTTTCCCCTGATATGGTTGATTTTTTTGAATTAGATGCTTTGTCGGGGTACTGTGCTGTTGGGAGTATTATTATTATTATTATTATTATTATTATTATTATTATTATTTTCCGTTTTGGCTTGAATCGGTCAACTGGGCGATTAACCTTGTAAACGAAAGTCAAGACTTTTTTTGTTGATGTTTGTTTAGGATTGAGCTCATACGTTCTCTCTATTAGAATTCCATTCTAATAGGATTACGTTACAGTTAACTGTAATATTGACGTTGCATGGGATTATTAGAAGGATACGAAAAGGAACACAAACACAGAGACACATGAATTGATTCTTTGCTCATTGTCTTTTATCTTTTTTTGTTAAGAAATAACTCTTTTACTCATCAAAGCTAAAAAAAGAAAAAAGAACGTCGTTATTGAAATTCAAAGCAATTTCCTTTTTTGACGAATGGTAATATATGTAATACAACAGTGTCTTTTTTTCTTCATTTTTTTCTCTGAAAATAAACAAAAATAATAATAATAATAAACCACAGGGTTTTGGCCATTTTCAGTGGAGAAAGCAATGACACCTTCTGAAACCTTGGCCATTCTTCGTATAGGGGTGATTAACGATCTGAAATATTTAAGATTCGATTTAAATTGAGATATAATTTTACGTGAAAATTATAATAAAAAAATTAAATATGATTATTTTACAGAACTTTTTATTATAATAATATTTAAATTTTAAATTCAAATTAATAAAATGAAATAAAGCCTTAAATTTTGTGTCACGTGTTTTCCACATGAATCAACATTTGCCAAAGCATGTTAAACCATTACATTTTTTGACACGTTGCCAACTAAAATTAAACCCGGTAAGGCCATTACTGACTAACGGTGAATGAAGTCAAAATCTAACTAGTTGAAGAAGTTTAGTGCACAACCTATATACAATATAATATACAACCAACACATATCAATGATATCCATGTGAAACCATAGGGTATGTACATGTGGACATAAATGTTGGCCCAATATGAAGCATGGGAGGGACCATTCATGTTAGAAGTCACTGAAAGTAGATATTGCTAGCTAACCGATCCTATTGATGGGAAAATTTCACCAAATACTAATGTTAAGTACATTAGAAAATGTTGCCCGTAAGTTGTTAGTTAAATAAATTAAAAAAAAAATTGTATATTTACGTACAATATCGTGTGTCTTCACTAGGCATAACAGAATGTACTATTGATTCCTACATAAATCCTACAAAAAATCACGTGCGCTAAGATAGCTTAGATCTTGTTTGCCATGGATGATCTTACTATTAATTATTATTAAAAAAAGACTGAAATATTATTTGATTACATTGCGATTATGCATCATACAAGTACTGATAATAGATCTGTTCTTCATCTTCTTCTAAAAAATTATATCCTTGACGAGAATAGCATGCAAGATTTGAAGGTTATATAAAGAGGAAAGGTAAGAAAAAATGCAAGAACAGGTTCACGAATATAGTGGAAATTTATTGAAGTTATATTCATATATTCATACAAGTCAGAAAGGAGTGTCATGATCCAACCTCACAAAAGATAACTAGTAAAAAATATAAGCTATTAAGTCCACATGTCAAACATTAAATGTAAAAAGTGATAAAGAGAGTAACGAAATGAGTAATACTAGTATTTTTCTGATCATATATATTTCTTCAAAAGTACTAGTATTAAGAACATCATGGTCAACATAGTTTATGGCCACCAGAATGTTAGTCAAAATAAAAAAGATCCATTGGCATGCATAATGCAACCCTGAAAGGTCTATTTTTTACGTGTGTTCCCGAGAGTATTACAACACTTTCTGTAATAATGACGATTAACTATAACGATTATATACAAAAACGTCAAAGCAATCAAGTAGGAAATAATATTGCAGAAACATAAAGAACACTAGGAATTTATATTGCAGTTCGGTGCGCACATCTACAATGAACAATTCACTAAGTATCAAGATTACAAATACCAATAGGACTTATACACCCAAAGACTCCGTCATTGACATTGTTGCCTCCGTATCAAATCTACTTAATAGCCTTGTCCAGCGAGCACCACTCAATTGCACGGCAAAATCCCTTCGGTTGACAGTGTGCTTTCTCCCAAAAGCTTCTAATCATTCTCCCGAAGGACAATCTTCAATCAATACTTAAAAACTCACTCTCACATAAACCTTTTCTGAATACTTCTATAAAAACCATACTCCAAATGTATCCTTTGATTACCCAATATTTTCTTTTTTTCAAGGCCACATATTCACGTACACTACTTATGTATATATAGCAAATTGCCAGAGTGACCTGTGGAAAGATCGATCTCTGGATCATATGAAATGCAGTTCAGTTGAATTCATGTGAAAATAGAAAGAAGAAAACAAAGAAAGAAGAGCTCTTCGAATGAAAAAGACAAAGAAAAAATGTCTTAGTTTGCTTATGTACCTACCTTTGTGAAGTACGTGAAGATCTCACCAATATGATTTAATGTTTGAATCATATATATCTAAAGAGATAAATGCAAGCTTCAATCTTTCCACATGATTAGCTTCACGCAATCAGCTTCTCACGCCAAGAAAAGTCTCTAGCTCTCATGCAAGGTAAGTCTCTAATAATCAATTCTCACATACCCAAAATACAATTCACACACCCACTGATCAGTACACTTTTTTTAAAAAAAATAATTCATCCAAAAACTACAATCAGCCCGTGCCTTTTATGTCACTAGAAACAACCCATCACACAATCAATATAATATTCTTTTCTCAAATAATTCTCCCAATTATTCTCTGAAATTACCCAAAATCTGATTCTCATCAACAAAAACATTCTATATTCGGAACAATCAAGCAACCAAAATCACATATAATTTTCTCCATAAACGTCAGTTACCAAAAGTACATGTTGTTAAATTTTTACAATAAATGCCAAAAAAATTGCCAAACTCCTAAGAAACCTCTTTATCAAGGTGGGGGGAGGAAATCGCCAGCTTGATTTTCACAGGTCCACCTATGTACTGACAACTGAGAATTGCAGATTTCTTTTTCCGTGACATGGTGGTGTGGAGGAGCCTTAACCTTTGAGTAAGTTCTTGGATGCGTTGCCGGATAAAAGTAGATTGTCAGGGTTGTTGGCAATTTTCAATCATGCTTTGTAGGATGAGAAGTTGCACACCATGATCCTTAGTTTATTTGGTGAAAAAGCTCCATACTTCTACTAGATGATCACAGACAGATTGTAGATTTTGGCCAGCAAGAAAGGAAAATATGAAGCTCACAATGGATTCAACGGCGTCCACTACAAAAGGGTGTAATGAGCGAACCAGAAAGTGAAGCTTTGAAGCAAATTCTGGATCAAAATGCTGATAAAATCCCACAATACAGCATAGTGTCGGACCGCATTAGCAAAATCAGAAAATGTGCGCATGCCTCTGTCAACCAAAAACAAATTTATAGTAAATCACGTGGAGCAGGTTCATGACTCTTTATGCAGCAAAACTTAAAATGAGAATATACAAAAAAAAAAATAAAAATAAAAATAATAATAATAATAATAAACACAACCCGAAAAGCTGTTATCATAAAAAAAAGGAAGAAAAAACAAGATAAAGGTCGGATATACATATAGTGCTATGAGTTTACTCAACCGTTGATGCAGAACGAGAGCATAAGAACAATCACCCTGCAATATATATATATATATATATATATATATATATAGATAGATAGATGTATGCATAACAACAAATTTTTAAAAAAGTTTTATATCCTCTCAACACCATGAAAGGAAGGGCCTGCAACAGCATACGAAATTCCCATAATTTGAGAAGATTCTGAATCCCACATGAGGTTTGTATTACTAGCAATAGGCACCTTTGGCGGTAATGGAAAAAAGTTCCCTAAACTTTTACTTTGACATCAAATCAGGCTTTATTTTAGTGGAAAAAGAATTTTTGCAATTTTTATTGCTTGCTCTGTTCATTTTCTTTTTCCCCTAAGGGCAATGGACATTGTAGAGATGCAACGAACGTTTTGTTTTTTTTTTTTTGTTTTTCGATAGGCTATTATTTGTTAGAAACAATGGAAACTAACATACATTTGAATAGAACTTTTGGAATTTTTATTGCTTGCTCTGTTCATGGATTTTTTTTTTCTTTCAGAAGGACAATAGACATTGGAGAGATGCAGAGAACGTTTGAATAGGAGACAACTAACCTATTAATATGCTTCCCCCTGCTAAAAATGTAAAAAAAATGCTGGTACTTGGTGGATTCATGATAGTCTTTACAATGAGGAGTTTTTCTTATTTACCAAACACTATACAATTTCGGGTAAAGGAGATTTTTCTGAAACCGGTTTCTGCAATTTTTATTTTTATTATTACTTTTTTTTTTTTTTGAAGTGATTGTGTGGCATGTTAAGAACATGGCAACCGGTAATTTTATTTTATTTTATTATATATATATATTTATTTATTTTGTTGAAAGGGCAAACCGTAAACCTTGTAATAACTAAGGAGCCATGCGTACATGTGAATAATAAACTGAATTCCTGAATAGATATTTTTTTCGTACTCCTGCAAGGTATAGAACAACTAAGGGTATTGGTCCTGCTCGCTTTGGTTCTGCTCCTGTAGTGACCAAGATGCAGGAGCTTGAGCTCAACCAGCCATGTCGACTAAGATGACGTCGTTTCTATAAGCTGTTGCATATTCCAGATGTTGTTGTTTTAGAGTTTCTTAACATGTTGCTGTTTACTGATTGATGTCGTCTGTGGTGTATATTGTCATTGTCATGTTGTCGAATTTTTGTTTTCTTTTCTTCTTTGCCCAGTCCATGCATTTGATTTTATGTTGCTTTCATCTTTCTATTGCATCAAAAACACGTTGTCGCTTTCCAGTCGATATTGTCTTCGTGTTGATATGGTTTTTGAGTTGATTGTCTGTTTATATGTTGCTTTTCAATGTTATTTCTCATAT